GTAACTAAGGATTATATCACTATGATAGTAACAAAGGACTACATCACCACAAAGGTAACTAAGGATTATATCACTATGATAGTAACAAAGGACTACATCACCACTAAGGTAAGTAAGGATTATATCACTATGATAGTAACAAAGGACTACATCACCACAAAGGTAACTAAGGATTATATCACTATGATAGTAACAAAGGACTACATCACCACAAAGGTAACTAAGGATTATATCACTATGATAGTAACAAAGGACTACATCACCACAAAGGTAACTAAGGATTATATCACTATGATAGTAACAAAGGACTACATCACCACAAAGGTAACTAAGGATTATATCACTATGATAGTAACAAAGGACTACATCACCACAAAGGTAACTAAGGATTATATCACTATGATAGTAACAAAGGACTACATCAACACTAAGGAAGCTAAGGACTATACCAATATGATAGTAACAAAGGACTACATCACCACTAAGATAACTAAGGATTACATCACTATGATAGTAACAAAGGACTACATTACTATGTACATGTAGTAACTAATGACTACATCACTTTGATAGTAACTAATTACTAAATCACTATGATAGTAACTAATGACTAAATAACTATGATAGTAACTAATGACTAAATAACTATGATAGTAACTAATGACTAAATAACTATGATAGTAACTAATGACTAAATAACTATGATAGTAACTAATGACTAAATAACTATGATAGTAACTAATGACTAAATAACTATGATAGTAACTAATGACTAAATAACTATGATAGTAACTAATGACTAAATAACTATGATAGTAACTAATGACTAAATAACTATGATAGTAACTAATGACTAAATAACTATGATAGTAACTAATGACTAAATAACTATGATAGTAACTAATGACTAAATAACTATGATAGTAACTAATGACTAAATAACTATGATAGTAACTAATGACTACATTACTATGATAGAAACTTATTACTACATCACTATGATAGTAACTAATTACTATGACAATGACTATATCACGTATGTAGTTAACAATGACTTTATCACGTATATAGTAAACAATGAGTTCATCATTTCTGTAGTAAACAATGACTTTATCACGTATATAGTAAACAATGAGTTCATCATTACTATAGTAAATAATGACTTCATCATTTCTGTAGTAAACAATGACTACATCATTCTGTAGTAAACAATGACTACATCATTCTGTAGTTAACAATGACTTCATCATTGCTATAGTAAATAATGACCTCATCATTTCTGTAGTAAACAATGACTTCATCATTTCTATAGTAAATAATGACTACATCATTTCTATAGTAAATAATGACTACATCATTTCTATAGTAAATAATTACTACAATGTATATCATTTCTATAGTAAATAATTACTACATCATTTCTATAGTAAATAATGACTACATCATTTCTATAGTAAATAATGAATACATCACTTCTATAGTAAATATTCAATACTTGAGAAGAGTTTTTGACCAATGATATTAATTTTTTAGTTACTACAAACATGACTTAGGACAACACGTATGCTGCAGTATTTACTACATAACGTTATTTACTATAAATTGTAACCAAGAAATTAATCATAGTGATGCAGTCATTAGTTACTATCATAGTGATGTAGTAATTAGTTACTATCATAGTAATGTTGTAATAAGTCACTATCATATGATGTAGTAATTAGTTACTATCATAGTGATGTAGTAATTAGTTACTACCATAGTGATGTAGTAATTAGTTACTATCATAGTGATGTTGTAATAAGTCACTATCGTAGTTATGTAATAATTAGTTATTGTCATAGTGATGCAGTCATTAGTTACTATCCTAGTAATAAGTCACTATCATAGCGATGTTATAATTAGTTACTACCATAGTGATGTAGTAATAAGTCACTATCATAGTGATGCAGTAATTAGTTACTTTCCTTGTGATGTAGTAATTAGTTACTACCATAGTATTGTAATAATGAGTTACTATCATAGCGATGTTGTAATTAGTTACTATCATAGTGATGTAATAATTAGTTATTATCATAGTGATACAGTCATTAGTAACTATCATAGTGATGCAGTAATAAGTTACTATCCTAGTGATGAAGTAATTAGTTACTACTATAGTGATGAAGTAATTAGTTACAATCATAGTGATGTAGTAATTAGTTACTATCTTGGTGATGTAGTAATTAGTTACTATCATAGTGATGTAGTAATTAGTTACTACCATAGCGATGAAGTAATCAGTCACTATCATAGCGATGTTGTAATTAGTTACTTTGATAGTGATGTAGTTATTAGTTACTACCATAGCGATGATGTAATTAGTCAGTATCATAGCGATGTTGTAATAAGTTACTATCAAAGTGATGTAGTAATTAGTTACTATCATAGTGATGTAGTAATTAGTTACTATCATAGTAATGTAGTAATCAGTTACTACCATAGCGATGTAGTAATTAGTCACTATCATAGCGATGTTGTAATTAGTTACTATCATAGTGATGTAGTAATTAGTTACTAGCATAGTAATGTAGTAATCAGTTACTATCATAGTGATGTAATAATTAGTTACTAGCATAGCGATGTTGTAATTAGTTACTATCATAGTGATGTAGTCATTAGTCAATATCATAGTGATGTAGTAATTAGTCACTATCAGAGTGATGTAGTAATTAGTTACTATCATAGTGATGCAGTCATTAGTTACTATCATAGTGATGCAGCCATTAGTTACTATCACAGTGATGTAGTAATTAGTTACTATCATAGTGATTCAGTAATTAGTCACCATCATAGTGATGTAGTAATTAGTTACTATCA